GGAGAATGCATGCATTTGTAGTGGTGGGTCGTGAATCACGGGACCACTGGGACTCACCAAACAGGCCGAAACAACGAGCACTTTAATCGTCTAACCGCACGTAACCTTTCTACAACTTGCAAAACCGAAACAAACTCTCACTGTCCAGTGTGTTACTACTGGCTCTCCCCATACCAGCGAGGCAAAGCCCTCCAACAGACCTCTTCCCCCTTTCTCCCTTCCCTCTTTCCCCACACGACACGGAGCTGGTTTGGTGGTGATGTTGGGGAGAGGCGGTGGTGAGGCAATCAGCTGCAGGTGTAAGAGGGCCCTGGACTGCTCTGACCTATCGAAAACCGTTCGATGAAACATTTATTGAGATCGGACGGCTTTCATAGTAGCGAGATGGGTCACCACCTTCGGAATCTTCTAGCCGCAACTGATGTGGAGGTGCGTGCATTCACGAAGCTGACGAGGCTTGGTGGTAACGTCACAGAGGCTCCAAATCTCAAGGGGAACTTCGCGTCGCAGCACTTCGTGCAACAACCAGCGCAACTCGCACGGGTGGAGGATGACGACGTGATCCAATTCGGCTTCTGGTTGGACGAAAGGCCACCTCTTTGCAAGCTTGGAAAGTTTAATGACGAATCAGAAAGCAGAACCGTTGATATGTTGACACATGGAGAGAATCGAAAGGACATCCTTCAGCCTGTTTCAGTGATGTTGGAACCTCGAGTCGCGCCTGCAATGGCCTCCAAGCGCCGAAAGCTACGCTGACACCGTTAGATTTGATTTGGAAAGTGTGGCCACGGAAGGTGCTGGGTTGGTGACGAGAACACGAAGTGTGGTATACGTAAATAATAACAAGTGTAGATTCCTTCGAGAGCGAATGGTTTGTGGTATACCACCAGCTCATAGGCTGGAATAGGTTGTGAGGAAATGCACTCCTGTCGGTATGTCTTTGCATACAACTTATGCCCAAGGCCTAAGGTGCCATTTTTCCTCCCGTATCGAACATTCAAGCTTTGGTATGTGATGTGATACCTCGCCTTTTTCGTGCGGTATTTCAAAGCAGGAGTACCCTGTGAGTAACTTGGTCAAGGATTCGAGTCTTATTTCATGCTCGTTGTTTGCAGCTGCAGGTATTCTCTTGCCTATTTGTATTCGTGGAGTTGCTGGGGGCCGGCAACTTTCAAGGTTTTTGCTTCTCCCGCATTTGTTGCCTCGTGAATTTGCACCCGAAACCAAGGTTGGAGATTTCGACATGCGGCTTACGAGCCATTACTATCTATGAAAGTGATTGGTTGAGGTGTGCGAGTCCATGAATGGGTGATTGGATGGACAACAAGACTTTATTTCTAACGACCTTACTGAGAATGAGGAGGCAGCCTTGGCTCAGTGATGACACTATGACCTGACGATAGGAAGTGCCGTCTGATGCGACGTCTGACCGTCAGAACTCGCCTCCACGCCGTCAAGGGCCGGCCACTGCAGAGCACAGGCATCCGAACCCTGGCCTAATCCTGACCGTTCATTCAGCAGCATTCAGCCATGGATTTGGCTCGCTTGCTGGGTGTAATGTGAGGGAAGACGGCTTTCTGGGCGAGGCTCTGCCTAGTGCCGCTGGGGTGGGCTTCTTGCATGTGGAGTGCAATCTGATTGGTTGGTCCGAGCAGTTGACTACACACAGGCTGCTGAGAGCCATTGAACCTAACACCTCACGGAAAATCTTGCTTTCGGCTCTGTTAGTATTTTCTGCTGTCTTTTTCTACGTCGTTTGATGTTACGCATCTGTATCTAAGATGCAATAACTAAAACTCCTTGTTTGAGGCCTGAGTTCGGGTTTGGGTCCCACGTGTAACGTCCTGGTTACACCTGAAAGCCCTATTCCGCAGACCTTATGTGTACAGTAGCAGGCTTCCAGTGCCTGCCAACTGAAGGTGGTCTTGCCAGAATGGACTCGTGGGGAATGGGCAGTTGGGGGGTCAATCCATGACCCAGATCAACAATCATTCCGCGCACATTTCATTGTCGAACGACTCTCCTCTCACTCTTTCAATATTTCGTTCTGACGAGAGCGGTGATGATAACCCAACCAGTAACGCCAGTTCTGCTTCTGATATCTGTGATGCGTACCTGGTTGTATAACCTTCTGAGTTCTCGAGACCCCTCCACGTTTCACTGTTTACACTCTTGTGTTTTGATCTTCTTTCCTAAATTACGCATTTAAGTTTTCTTGTGCCTTCATTGACCACTGGAAAACTACACGCAAAACCGAGTGTGTTCAGAGACAGGCTACCTATCCTGTGATCTGCATGAGTGTTTTGCAAGAACATAGTATGCGGGGAATGGGCAGTTGACGGGATCAACTGATGAACCCAATCAACAATCATTCTGCGCACATCCCAACTTCGAGCTACTACCATTTCGACCCCTCGTCAGGCCACCCCTGGCGTCCTTTCACTGGCCCACATGCGTTCTCTCCCTCTCCCCCCTCTCTCTCGCCCTCTCACCCTCCCTCTCTCCCTCTCCCTCCTCCCCCCCTTCTCTCTCTCTCTCTCTCTCTCTCTCTCTCTCTCTCTCTCTCTCTCTCTCTCTCTCTCTCCTCTCTCTCACTCCCTCTCTCTCTCTCCCTCTGCCGCTCTCTCTCTGTCTCACTCTCTCTTGCTCTTTCCCGTTTCTTCACTGTACTTTCTCTCTCTTGTTCTGTTGCGGTCCCAGTACTGGTTTGCAATGATGATTACTACTGTTAAATCTGTCAATCCGCTGAAAGTGCACGTGTTGACAAATTCAGTCCTACAAGTTTCTGAGCAAACCAATATGATACTTGTATCCAGTGCTCTGCAGACTCTAACATGGCGTTTCCATTTTTATCAATTCATCAAATGCCATACCAGTTGATTGAGCTAAAGATCTAGAGCATTTCACCATCTAAAGAATCTGAAACAGAGCATTTCAGCAGCATAGTGTGGGATGAATCACCATGTTTCATATTACAGCACCTTTAGAAGCTACATGCCAGCTGTGATAGGAATGTTTGCAGTTAGATGTATATTGACAAATTATAAAATACAATTCCCAGCAATTTAATAAAAGAAGCACAATTCAGTCATTTTGTCAGGTACCAGTGTTTTATAAGCACAGAGAACATTGCTGAGATCTGTAACGAGGATGCGGTTGATCTGATATCTGTTATAGGCGCACTCGTCACAGTACAAGCCCATGCACTACTCTTTTTTCCCTCTTAGCAGAAATATTAACGTTTGGTGTAGCCATGATAGGGTGTTCTCCACGTTGCCCTCCAACGAGACCTGCGCTGACCAAAACTGAAGGCTCACCGTGAGTTGCGCAACGTGCGAACAGCAGATGTAGCTAGCGTCTGACATGGGACGCTGCACCACCCAATGGTCAACAAACCACCTTCCCGAAGCGCAATGTTCTAACTTCGGTTCGCGGCTCGATCCCACATTGCCTGCACCAATTTCTTTCCTCACCCCATGTAGCCAACGACCAGCCATTCCCGCACGTCCAGCGATTTCTTTGCTTCACGCACGTCCCATCCCAGCCCTTGGTTGCGTTGTTCCGTTGCGATTGCGATTCATCCGCCTCCTCGTGTTCCGTCCCTCAACGCGCAACACTCCCTACCTTGGCTCTAGCTCGAGTGTGTCTCTCACCACAACATCCACGCAACCTAGTGCTCTCGCAAGCAAGTAGTCACAGCCACCAATCCCTCCCTCATATAGCCCCTCAGCTCATCACCACCACGTCATTTGTCGCGGTTCCAGCCTGCACCCTTGGCGTGCTAGTATCTCGCCATCCCGCATCGCCTGTGCACGTCTTCCGGAACGCGTTTCCACGTGCACGTGGTTCAGTCGCTTTAGCCCATCCACGCCCAGCCCTTGGCGACTGACCAATTTTTCGAGTCTCGCTGGACCAGTCTGATCCATCATGTCTCAGTCAGACGAATAGGCGTTGGAGTTAGTCACCCAGAGTAGCGCCGAGCTGCTCCCGTCTGCTATCTCTGTTCCGACCAAGCGCTTTGCAGCAGCGCATTGCAGTAGCGCATAGCAGTTGCCCTGCTTAGTCAGAGATCGTCAAACCCGATCCAGCAGAGCCAGTCAGGAGTTATTGATAAAAATATCCTGCCGCCCTTTTCTAAGTTCTTTCCTCGAGGGCGTTTGCGTTCGAGCTTCTGCCATCCCTAGCCAGCTACGCTGCAAGGCTCGCCTTATCGTGTCAATCGAATAGCACCCGTCGTCTCGTTGCAGCAGAGCATAGGTTGCTCTTAACAGAGATCAGGGATTAGATTACTGCCGTTTTAGCGGCGCCGGCTCACTTGACAGCCTTTATTCCGAGCCGCTGTGGCATGGAGTAGAATAGCCAGAGATAAACCCTCAAGTTGATACTAACTGAGCTGGCGATTATGGGGAAAGGAATAGGGCGGGGCCTGTGTGTGCCCTCCGTCCTTGTTTTTCTCGTCACGGTTCTTATTTTCCTGCACGCCGCAACTCCCGCACAAAGTCAAGGTAGAGATTTCATTCCGTAAAAGCAGGATAGTTTCAACGGCAAAGGAGAAAGTAGTTTTGTTTCATGAGGCGTAGGTGAGGCATAAGCACTCCAACGCGAGGCAACAATGGAGTCAAAGAAACACACTAGTGAAAACGAATTACCCACATGAACTAGATACTTCAGTGGGTGCTTCCCTCTTTTCAATAGCAATGCTGATGGCTCCTACTAACGAGTTTTTTGTTCGCCTCCTCTCTCCGTCCTTTCAGACGTTGCAAGAAGACATGGAGAAGGAGCCGCCGGATATATGGACACGTGGCAACTGGTGAGCGGACAGACACCAGTATCTGAGACAGAGGTGAGCTGAGGCAGGTTGTAACAAAGCCAGTAGCATATATCTAAGCAATGAAATAGACGTTTTTGAAGCCATTTTGAATAATGTAACCACTGCTTTTCATTTGTACGCCTCCTTAGACAATTGCGTGTAGTGGAATGTACATTCATATACATATAATTTATGTTATCGTTTTTTTCCCCTGTTCCTGAACGTTCCCATCCCCAGAAACTCGAGGAGGACCTTGAAGTTGTCGCGCGACGACTATCCTCGTCATCCGGTTCTGGTGACTCCGGTTCCTCGTCAGAATCCGGCAGTGGGGATGGAGGCGGCAGCAGCGGCGGCGGTGATTCGTCGTCTTCGTCGTCAGACTCCGGCAGTAGCAACGGAGGCGGCGACGGCAGCAGCGGCGGCAGCGGCAGCGGGGGCGACTCGTCATCTTCGTCGTCAGACTCTGGAAGCTCCGGCTCATCATCTTCAAAATCGTCGTCTTCGTCAGGATCTTCGTCTTCTTCTAGCGACGGGGGCAGCGGAGGCGACGGAAGCGGAAGTTCCGGCGGTTCCTCTGATAAATCGTCAGGCTCCTCGTCGTCCGATTCGTCGTCCGATTCGTCGTCGTCGTCCGATTCGTTGTCCGATTCGTCGTCTGATTCGTCGTCGTCGTCCAGTTCCAGCGGGAAGAAGAAGAAAAAGAAGAGCTCCTCCTCATCTTCCTCTTCGTCATCTTCAGATTCTTCCTCAGATTCATCGTCATCGTCAGATTCTTCGTCATCGTCATCGTCGGATTCGTCGTCATCGTCATCGTCTTCTAAAAAGAAGAAATCTAAGAAGAGTTCCAAGAGCAGCGGATCGTCGTCTGATAGCAACGGCGACTCTTCCTCAGGAGATTCTTCAGGAGATTCGTCAGGCTCTTCGGGTTCGTCCGATTCAGGATCCGACGGCGACGGCTCCTCAACGTCTTCGTCGTCGTCTAAGAAGAAAAAAAGTAAGAAGTCGTCTTCGTCGAGCAGCGGGAATGACGGCGACTCGTCTTCTTCCTCTTCCTCTTCCTCTGGATCCAAGAAAAAGAAGAAGAGTAATAAGAGCTCTTCATCTGACGGTGGCGACAACAGCTCCGATAGCGGATCCTCTTTAAACGGGGACTCGTCCTCTGGCAGCGGAGACGGAGGCGGTGACGGAGGGTCGTCAGGCGACGGAGGAAGTGACGGAAAACGGGTTCAAGAAAGTGTAGGAGATGGCGGAGGGGGGGGAAGCGGAGGAGATGGAGGAGGGAGCGACGGAGGAGACGGAGGAGGAGGCTCGTCGTCTTCTTCCGGAAAGAAGAAGAAGAAAGGTTCGAAGAAGAAAAAGGGGTCAAAGAAAAGCTCTAAACACGGTTCGAGTTCCGGGGGAGACGGGGAAGGCAGCGGGAGCGGTTCGTCTAAGAAACATAAGAAGGGCTCGAAGAAGCGCTACGCGCGGGGAGACGGCGGCGGGTCGTCGGGCGACGGAAACGGTGACGGAAATGGCGGCAGCGACGGTGGCAGTGGAGACGGAAACGGAGACGGAGGCGACGGAAACGGCGACGGAAACGGTGACGGAAACGGCAGCGGGGACGGGGGAGGAGACGGAGGAGGAGACGGAGGAGGGAAAAGTTCCAAGAAGAAGGGAAAGAAGAAAAAGTCTTCCTCTTCCTCTGGTTCTCATTCTCATTCGGGAGGCTCGTCGCACGGCTCGTCGCATTCTAAAGGGTCTTCTTCTCATGACGATAACGGCGACGGCGGCGGCGACGGGGGCGACGGTGGTGGCGATGGGGGCGGAAACGGCGACGGCGGTGATGGTGGTGGTGATAGCGGCGACGGAGGCGGCGACGGAGGTGGCGACGGGGGCGGCGACGGGGGCGACGGAGGCGGCGATAATGGTGGTGATGGTGGTGATGGTGGTGATGGTGGGTCTACCGAAGGTTCAGGCGACGACGGTGATTATTTTGACATGAACGCTCGTGAGAAGCGGAGTGTTGATGACAATAACGGGGATGACGGTAACGGGGTCGACAGTAACGGGGATTACAACGACGACTCTGGTTCGGATTATAGCGGGGATGGAGGTGATGACTATAACGGCGATTCTGGAGACGGAGGGGGCGACTACAGTGATTCTGGCGACGGCGATTATAGCGGGGGCGACGGTAGCGATGGTGGTGACTATAGCGAAGGCGACTATCCAGATGACGGGAGTACGGAGGGAGATGGGAGTCGGAGGGAAAGGGGTTCATCCAACGGCTCACGATCAAGCAGGAGGAAGAAAGGACGGCGGGGATCGAGCCGTCGTAAGGGCCACCACCCAAATAAGGGGCACCACAAGCGCGGCTCGGCGCCGCCAGTTGCAAGCGATCCGGCCGTCAACTTACCTCCCGTTACAATCGTTCCCCCGTTCACGGTCAAAAATCCCCCGGTGATAGCATTCCCGCCGAAAATTACCAATCCGAAACCCGTCGACCCCTCCCCAGCACCCCCTGTCGGTCCCCTCATACCCGATAATGTCAACCCGTTACCGTTCGATCTCATCCCCGTTCCGCAACGTACACCCACCGACTCGTTTACGCTAAACCCGTTTAAAGGCAGAGTCGCGGTTTTCCCATTGGAGCCAGCCCGAAAGGACCCAAAAGCCGGTCTGATAAAAAAGCCAAAACCGCCAGTGGTAAAACCAACACCGAAAGTGCCCACTCTCCCGCCCAAACCAAAAGTGCCAACACTGCCGCCCGCACCGAAACCGAAAGTGCAGATCCCGCCAAAGACCCCGCCCAATGCGGGAGCAGTTGACCCGTCCGATCCCAACAACCCGTTTGCTAGTCCGTTTGACCCGCCGCCCGGCGCGAACGGCCCGCTGAATCCGACCGACCCCGTGAATCCGCTCAATCCGCTGCAGCCGCTGTCGCCGTCGCCGCCGGTTGTTACTCCCAAGCCTTCTCCGCCTCCCGATGACGGTGAGAACCCAAATTTACCTTTTTTTTTCCAGTTTGGTTTAGAAAGTGTACCTTTCCAGGTTTGTAAGTGTAGACGTGTGTACACCGAAGGGAATGCGTGCACCAGCTGTCGCTGTCGCTGTCGCCGCCGGTGGTTGCTCCCAAGCCTTCACCGCCCCCTGATGATGGTGAGACCTTGCTTTCTTAGGCCACAAATGCTCCCCGAATCCTTCCCACGCCAACCTACCGTCATTTGTCCTCACCATGTATCTCCTCCTTACACCCCCCCCCCCCCCCCTCCCCTCCCCCCTTCCCCCCACCTCTTCCCCTCCCCTTCCTCATTGCAGTGCTGGTATCCCCAACACCACCGTGCCTCAAATGCTCCCCGATTCCTACAACGCCTCAGCAGTCATCAAGCCAAAAACCACCTCCACCACAACCGCCCCTCCCTCGCCCCCCACCGACTCACCATTTCTCCCTTGTTTCATCCTTTGTTTCCTCCTTCTGTCTCCCTGCAGGTGCCGGTATTCCCAACACCACCGTCCCTCAGATGCTCCCCGATTCCTACAACGCCTCAGCAGCCATCAAGCCAAAAACCACCACCACCACATCCGCACCTCCCTCGCCCCCCACCGACGCTGGAGTCAACACCCTCATGGTCGTGCTGATGGTCACGATTTCCCACCCCCATTCCCCTCATCTCACCATTTCCCTTGTCCCCTCCCTCCCCCACCCCCTGTTTCAGGTGCCGGTATTCCCAACACCACCGTCCCTCAAATGCTCCCTGATTCCTACAACACTTCTGCACTCATTTGTCTCACCATCTGTCTCCCCCTTTCTTTCCCCTCTTTAACCCTTCCCCCCTCCCATTCCTCATTGCAGGTGCCGGTATCCCCAACACCACCGTCCCTCAAATGCTCCCCGATTCCTACAACGCCTCAGCAGCCATCAAGCCAAAAACCACCACCAGCACATCCGCGCCTCCCTCGCCCCCCACCGACTCTGGAGTCAACACCCTCATGGTCGTACTCATGGTTACAATCCCCCTGGGTGCAGCGGCGGTCATAACAATGGGCATGCTGGGGTGGAGTCAGTACAAGAAGTGGAGTATGAACGCGCAAGGCCCTGCCACTGCTGGGGGACCTGGGTCTGGGTCTGGGAGCGGTGGGTTTGGTGGCAGTGGGTATGAGTCTCTGAGAGGGGGACCGTTCAACCACTGATGAGGGAATGGGGTTGGGGTGCTGCTGCTGCTGCTAGTGCTGGTGGTCGTGCTGATGGTCACAATTCCCCTGGGTGCAGCGGCGGTGATAACAATGGGCATGCTGGGGTGGAGTCAGTACAAGAAATGGAGCATGCGTTCCCAAGGCCCTGCCACTGCTGGGGGTCCTGGGGGTGGGGGTGGGTCTGCTGGGTTTGGGTATGAGAGCCTGGGAGGAGGGCCGTTTGGTCGATGAATGGGGAGAGAGGAGGGGAAGGGGATGGGGGCTTGAATCGCATTATGGGTGTGGGTGGGAGTGGGTGTGGGTGGATGGGGAATGAGAGTCTGCGAAAGGGGATTTTTGGGACTCCTGAACCAATAATATAGCGGGTAGTGGGCCTTAGAGTGCGGCGAGAGAGGGCATTCTTAGGTTGATGATTTCTCCGTAGTATACAAACCCCTGCTGTGCAGGTGTAGTAGGTGTAGGGTAGATTAGGGACAAACATATCTTTTGAGACGTATCCAAATATTAGTGACGAATTGCTATGCTTCTTCACGCGGGTACTTGACCTGCAACACGTTTATTGACGGTCTACTGTTGAGAATACATGCTCCTGCAATTGATTTTCCCAATATACAGACATAAGACTACTAGTACTTGTGGGTACCATCAGATCAAGCATTTTGGAATTTGTAAATTGTTTAGCGAACAATCAGATGTATCGTAACACAAGCTGTTACCAGAACCACCTTCGACGAAGCACACCTGATGTCCATACTACGTGCGACACACGTTGCGCGAGGTGCGTTGCGAAATGTTGGTAACGACGCCTCCTGAAATGTCCAGCACGAAATCATGCATGACCTCGCTTCCCACAGCTCATCTGAACTTTTACGTCAGCAGGAACCTATGTGAACATGAAGACAAGCGCCAGCAACAGGCATCTCGCGCCATTGCTCTGTTTCTCCAGCTGAATGCATACTAGTGTTCTGGCTTTCCGTGATTGGCGCTCCGCTAATTAGCCTGTCCGTAGTCTTAGCTCGCTTCGTCTTTGCTTATTCTTCCCGCAGCTGGCGATTCTGCGAGATTTCCGCAGATTTGCAACTTTCCGACTGATCTGCCCTGCGAACAGATTTGCGAAGGGGTTATTCGACGTCTGATCCTGCGGTTGTTATTTTCCTCATTAAATACGGTTGCGTAAATTGCAGAGCAGTCACGATGTTTGGAGGAGGGTTCAAGGGCTCGAAGCTGTAAGTCACGAGGCTCGAACGTTCTTACGCTCGTAACACCGATTGAAGAAACAGATATTCACGCCGTCAACATGATACTTAACCGTTTGCAGAATTTGCGGTATTGTTGTCAACGGGTGTTGATGTCCTGATTATTATCCGAACTTCTGCTCTCCTCATCTCTGGTTCCGTGTCAAGGCATTGATCCGGTTTTTTATGATACACTTTTTTTTCGTTACAGGAAGACTCAGCTTCAGCTATCAGCTTCACGAATCACGGTGATGCGCAACAAGCGGCAGAATGAGCTCAAGTACAAGCGGCGTGAGGTGGCGATGATGCTCAAGGGTGGCCAGGAAGCTCGAGCTCGTATTAGGGTACGTGATACGCTTTATAACGTTGTGCATGAAGTTGAAATGCGTACGTGTATAGTATAAGTATACAGTAAGGGCAACAAGCAGGACGAGCTCGGATTTGGGTGTGGGTTCCAAGAAAAAAAAGCAAACAAATAAATAAATGTGATATCTGATTAACAGTCATGCATTATGATCTCGCTGGAAATGCAAACACAGAGCAATGGCTATGATGCTCCAAACGCGAAGAGGAGGCATAACCCTAAATCAGCAATGTGCCGAAATCCCTGCATTGTCGTTGTGACAGTAACGAGAGGGACAAGCAATTCCGCATCGTGTCGAGTACTGATTCGCATTTTTCTCTACACCTCCTGGTGTGTGTGTGTCTCACCCTCCTTTCATCCGGTTGCAATATCCATGTTCTTAAGGTGGAGGAGCTTATAAGGGAGGAGAACACTATAGCAGCCTACGACGTTCTGGAGCTCTTCTGCGAGCTGCTGGTCGCCCGCATTCTCATTATAGAGTCACAGAAGTGAGTTCTAAAGGTTGTGCATGCATAATCCATATAGCGGCGTACGACATTTTGGAGCTCTTCTGCGAGCTGCTGGTCGCCCGCATCCTCATTATAGAGTCACAGAAGTGAGTGTTTCATGTTGTGCATAATATATCTGTACACCACGCTCCTAGCTTCCCTTAATGGGTTTATGGATTCTGTAATGTCTGTGCTGACAATTTTGTAAGCGTTCTTGAAACGGTGCTAAACTTGTTGCTTTTTTCCTATGGCTGGTATCTGGTTTGTTTCAGGACCTGCCCGGTGGACCTACGGGAGGCGGTTTCGAGCATAATTTTCGCTGCCCCGCGCTGCTCCGACCTGCCCGAGCTCGCTGAGGCGAAGAAACTCTTCCAGCAGAAGTTTGGGCGGGAATTCGTGATGGCAGCAGAGGAGCTGCGTCCTGAATGTGGGGTGAACCGGATTGTAAGTGTTATGTGTTTTGATGTGGTGGAGTGTGGTGGGTCGGGATCTAGTGGGGTCGAGCTCGCCGAGGCGAAAAAACTCTTCCAGCAGAAGTTTGGGCGCGAGTTCGTGATGGCAGCAGAGGAGCTGCGGCCTGAATGTGGGGTGAACCGAATTGTTAGTGTTTTTTTGTGTGGTGCGGAGTGGGATTTTGTGGGCTGGATTGGGATGGAGTGAAGCGTCTTTGTCCGTTTATATTCCCCGCAGAAGCTGGTAGCAGAGAATGGCATGGAGTGGAGTGGAGTGGAGTGGAGTGGAGTGGAGTGGAGTGGAATGACCTACCCAATCCCGTCCCGTCTTCCTCCTCTGTTCTCTTCGCGTTGGCACTTGCAGATCGTGGCTAAGCTGTCAGTGCGAGCCCCCTCGCCTGAATCGAAGCTAGAGGCGCTGCAGAAATTGGAAGAGGAGAACGGAGTGGAGTGGAGTGGAGTGGAGTGACCGACTTGGGTGCTTCTTTTCTTGTTTCTTCCCTGCATGCCTCCCAGATTGTTGCAAAGCTGTCAGAGCGAGCCCCCTCGCCCGAATCCAAGCTAGAGGCGCTGCAGAATGGCAGAGGAGAACGGAGTGGAGTGGAGTGGAGTGGAGTGGAGTGGAGTGGAGTGGAGTGGAGTGGAGTGGAGGGACCGACTCAGGTGTCTTTTGCCTTGTTTCTTCCCTGCACGCCCTCCAGATTGTCGCAAAGCTATCAGTGAGAGCCCCCTCGCCTGAATCCAAGCTAGAGGCGCTGCAGAAACTGGCAGTGGAGAATGGCGTGGAGTGGGACCCGGCTAGCATGCAGAAGGACTTGCTGGCGAAATATGAAGACATGATGGTGAGTGCGGTGTTAGGTTCAGTAAGAGGCGTTTAGAGGGGTGGAGTGGGGTGGAGTGGGATCTAGCCAGCATTCAGAAGGACCTGCTGGCGAAATACGAAGACATGATGGTGAGTGGGGTGCTAGGAGGCATTAGAAGGGTGGAGAGGGATGGAGTGGGACCCGGCGAGCATGCAGAAGGACTTGCTTACGAAATACGAAAACATGAAGGCGAGTGTGATGTGATGTTGGGGTTCAGTCAAAGGCCTCAAAAGGGGTTGAAAGGTGTGGAGTGGGATGGGACCAGGCAAGCACGGGGGCTTGCACGTGGACTTGCCACAACTCGTTCAAATCAGTCAGTCTACACATCTGCCCCTCCAGACGCTCCCAGGGTCCCCCCTCCATTATCGCCCCTTCCCCCTGTCCCACTGCTCCCCTCCCCGTCACCCTTTTCTCCTTCTCCTCTTTCCCCTCTCAGGACCCTCGTTTTAATTAGCGGGTCTACACATCTACCCTTCCAGATACTCCCAGGACCCCCCCTTTAGCGCCTCCTTCCCCATCCCCACTCCCCCCTTCCTCACTTTCCCCTTCTCCCTCTCAGGACCCTCGTTCCAACCAGCCAGTCTACACATCTGCCCATCCAGACGCTCCCAGGACCCCCCCTCCTCACGACTCAGTGCCCAACATGTTTGGTCCCGGGCAGCCCTACAATCCCGGGCAGCCCGCAAATGTTCCGGCGGGCAGCCAGCCGTACGAAGCCGGCCCTCCATCTGCCCCCCCTCGCACAGAATCTTTGATTACAGCAGATGACTATGAGAAGCGGTGGGTGGGAAAAGCAGGGGGGCAGGGTCAGGCAAATGACCCTGCCCACCCCGCTTCTGCTGCTGCCGCTGCTGGTGCTGCCGGTGCCGCTGCTGCTACTGCTGTCGCTGCTGCTGGCGGTGGTGGTGGTGGTTACGGTGCTGGTGGTGGGTCAGCTGGTTACACTGGCGTTGGTGGTAACCCTCTGGATTACCCAGCATCATCTGTTCCCAAGTATGGGGAGGGTAAGGCTTTTAAGAAAGATGCTATGGATTACGCTCCTAGCAGCTACGGAGGAGGGGGAGGAGGCGGAGGGGGAGGGGGGGCAGGAGGTGGGGGGGGAGGGGGAGGAGGGGGTAACTACCAGAATCAGGGTAACAACAACCCCAGTGGTGCGTTTTCCACAGAGGAGATTCGGCGGGCAGAGAACGAGGTGGCGAGGGAGTTTGATCGTGTGGCTGAGGAGAGAGAGCGCCAGATGGCGGCGATCCGTGAGTCGTCAGAACGCGCCAGGCTGGCGGCGCAGCGGGCAGCAGATGCTGCCCGGATGGCCGTTGGGGGCGGGGGAGCGGGGGGAGCGGGGGGGATGGGGGGGGTGGGGGGGATGGGGGGAGGGGGGATTGGTGCTGGGTACGGTTCAGGGGCAGGAGGAGGAGGGAGGGGGATGATGGGCGGACAGGGAGGAATGGCCGTAAACGCTCGTTACGGGCCTAGTGCGTACGGCGGCATGCCAGGTGGATCCGCAGGTGGTTCTGTTGGTCCAGGTGATTCCTCTGTTGGTTCAAGTGGAGGAGGCGGGGTGCAGGATGGGGAGGACAGTTTGGATTTGCCTGCTCCCCCTAGAGGTATCGTGGGGGGAAGAGGAGGGGGAGGGGGAGGGGGAGGAGGAGGCGGAGGGGGAGGCGCAGGGGGTGGGGCAGGAGGTGGGTTTGTGGGTGCAAGTGCATTTGACGATTTTGTGGCCAAGTCACCTCGAGCAGGAGAAACTGGTAGTGGTGGATTTGGGGCAGGAGGAGGAGGAGGGGCAGGGGGAGCAGGGGGAGCAGGAGGAGCAGGAGGGACAGGAGGAGCAGGAGGGACAGGAGGCACGGGTGGTGGGTATGGGGCAGAGTCAGCAGCGCCAGCAAGCCATGGCACCCCAGCACATGCTTTTGATGACTACATTGCGCGGTCTCCTAGGGGGAGCAACAATAGCAACGGCAGTGGTGATTTCAACGCCCCGTCCGTCCCTGGTTCGGGCGCCGCCCATTCCTCCCACTCAGGCTCGGAATTCCCCTCCGTGCCAGGCTCTGGCGGGTATGGCTCTGGCGCTGGCTCGGGCTACAGTGGAGGAGGTGCGGGGCCAGGTTCGGGGATGCAGAGTGGTCCGGCGACAGCTGGTTTGTCGGGAGATGTGATGTCGCTGCCTGGCATTGATGACTTGGCCGCTAGGTTTGACCGGCTGAGGAAGAGAACGGCAGCATCGGATGACCTGTGAAGGAGAGACCACTTTTGATGCGCCTCAGAATGCTGGAGGTGGGAGGTGTGTTGGTGATTTGGCTGTTACCGTAGGTTGATTCGCTGAGGATGAGAGAATCTGCGTCGGATGATCTCTAAATGGCAGGTAAGGTAACCCTTGAGGCTCCTCAACCTCAAATGTGGAAGGGGGAAAGGGGGAGGGGGGGGGATACTAGGATTGGCTGAATAGTGTTGTGTAGTGAATTGATTTGGTGATACTGTCTTTTTTTTTTCCGTAGAAATGTGTTGCCTGCCATTGGCTCGTTTATGCGATCTTGCTTGCAGCTTGGGCAAATGAATATTTGTGAAAGATATTCTAGTGTTGGCTTCTCGTAAGATCTACAGTGTGCTTCCCTTCTTTTGGCGTCTCGCTACCCGCAGCGACCACACCGCGTACACCTCCTCGCTTCCGCAAGCTGCATTTCCGCCATTCCTCCAGCTGCAGGCCGATCAGGGGGAGAGATTTTCCCGATCGACCACCGGAGGGAACCGCAAATTCCCTCCGCGTTCGCCAACCCCAAGGGCAGCATTCAGCCAATCACGAGCATGTTGCCTGAACCATTTTTCCGAACCCCCTTTCACCGACCTCCGTTTCCGCTTCAAATATGGGCACGCGGAAGGTTGAGGGAGATGCCGGTATCTATCCGTACGATACAGGATGCTTTGAGCGTGGTTAACTATTTTTGGGTTGCGAAGCAACCTATTACAATCGTTATGTACAATTTTTTTTTCATCCTCTATATTTATAGAAGATGAAGAAAAAAATGTTTTCGATAGTAGCCTAAATGACCTTTATGTATTTGCCATGGCCGTACATTTCTTTCAACTTCTTTAGTTCGCTATCGTGAATCTACTGTGGACGAACATAGTCAGCGTATACTACGCCATGTGGAATGGATGAAATATGAACATGGTAACAAAAATAATGTTACTATCAAGTTGTGAATGTTACTTGATGATGCATACCGTTATGCATTAATGAAGCATGCATGCATGTACGGTACGTGATGTACCGGTATGATAATGGATAACCTAATACATAATATATAATGCATAAATATAGTATAATGCTGTCAAAGTTATGTTTAATATATATCCTGCGTGCTGTAGTTACTGCAGTTATTGTTCTTAACTATTTGGTGGTGCACCACTGTGCTCACCTTCCCTTGAACTATATCATGTATCTTGCTCATTAGTGTAAGCCCTCTTCTTCCGTTTCTCTCGCTACTCTCTTACCCCAAAACCCTAGTCTACTTAGGCTACTATTCTAACAAATGCATATGCTATAGCAGTATGCAAAATATTTAGTTATGTATACCAGTACCTAGTATAGTGAAATGAATGCATACGGTACATGATGGAATGCGTATCAGTTAGTTGACCCAGACCCTATGCTACCGCATCCCCTGCCTAGCATGGGGGGGAAGTCAATAGCATAGTTTCTGAATCATTCAACTGTTACATGAAACGATACAATCTGTGTAAACTAAAAAAATGATCAAGATCCATCAAATCCAGTTCAAGTGGACACACTCACTGAGTGCGCAAAGAACCTTCTCGGAAATGATAGCTTGACCATTTTTTTAAAATCCACAGATGTGCATTGTTGATGCAATGATAAGATGATGTGGATGAATGTACACACAAAAAACACATGCACACTGACACACATAGCGATATGCACATACACGACAAACTAGCGATTAAAGACCACATACAAATGCACAAACAAAAGTGACAATTAGGAAGACATGAAAACAAAAGATGCAAAATATTACGGACAACAATCTAAATCAAATCCCACAATCCAGCATTTGCCGATCGCCTGGCTCAATCAAATATGATGTCAGGCTGTCAAATGTTGTAGCCTATAGTGAGGTTTGTCTTAGAGGGTACAAAACTTAGGGTTAGCTATATGTACCCCAACCAACATCAATGCATCATCCATTCTTCATTCTGACATGGTATCAGTTAGGTTAGGATCCTGTGGGATCCCGTTCCGCCGTTCTCCGTTCGTACCACCCGAGCCTGATCCTAGCTCTCGTTCGTCTCCTTCTCGTTGTTACCGAGCCTAGCGCCGAGCCACGCTCTCGTTCGTATCGTTCCAGCTGTTACCGCCCCCCCCGTCGCGTTGCCTTCCCCCCCCCTCGAGACGCGCCCGTCCCTTTCCCCCTGTCGCGTCGCGCTCCCCCCGTCGCGTCGCGTCCGCGCCTTCCCCCCGTCGTGTCGCCTTCCCCCTGTCCCGTCGCGCCCCCCCTTTCCCCCCGTCGTGTCGCCTTCCCCCTGTCCCGTCGCACCCGCCCCTTTCCCCCCGTCACGTCGCCTTCCCCCTGTCCCGTCGCAGCCCCCCTTTCCCCCCGTCGTGTCGCCTTCCCCCTGTCCCGTCGCACCCGCCCCTTTCCCCCCGTCCCGTCGCCTTCCCCCTGTCCCGTCGCACCCGCCCCTTTCCCCCCGTCGTGTCGCCTTCCCCCTGTCCCGTCGCACCCGCCCCTTTCCCCCCGTCGTGTCGCCTTCCCCTGTCCCGTCGCACCCGCCCCTTTCCCCCCGTCCCGTCGCCTTCCCCCTGTCCCGTCGCACCCGCCCCTTTCCCCCCGTCGTGTCGCCTTCCCCCTGTCCCGTCGCACCCGCCCCTTTCCCCCCGTCACGTCGCCCTCCCCCTGTCCCGTCGCTCCCGCCCTCTCCCCCCGTCGCGTCGCCCGTCCCGCAGCGCCCGCCACTGTCGCCGCCGCGCCTGCAGCCGTCGCCCGCCGCTGCGCGCGTCGCCGCTGCCCCCCCCCCCCCCCCCCCCCCCCCCCCCCCCCCCCCCCCCCCCCCCCCCCCCCCCCCCCGCCCCCTGCCGTCGCCCGCTGCGCGCGCTGCTGGCCCCTGCTGCCGAGCGCGCTGCCATCGCCCGCCGCTGCGCCCGTTCCCGTTCCCCGCTGCTTAGTCCCCTGTTACCTCCCGCTGTCACGCCCGCTGTGGCGTCCGCTCCTCCCCTGTCCCAGAGTACCGCCGAACCCTAATTTGGATCTCACCTACTGCTGTCCCCTCCCTCTCCGTTCGCGTTCGTTTTCACTATGGCGACTCAGCGTGTCCTTCGTTTCGACGCTGACGGTAGACCTCTTGATTTTTCCGTCTGGCTTCTTCGTGCTCGCCGTCTGTTAGAGAGTCAGGTCCAGGCAGGCGAGACCCTCTGGGCGCACGCTACTGGTGCCCTACCTGCGCCCCCCGACCCTACGCCTTTAGGACCTGCCCCTGACGACGCCGCTAGAGCCCGCTTTGCCACTCAGCGAGCTGACCAGACGGCTTGGACGTCACGTGACGCTGCGGCCTGCATCGCGCTCAGCAGCCTCCTCCCTGAGTCTGAGGAGGTTCACTTCACTCAGGTTCGCACCGCTGCTGCGTACCTCACTGCGATTAAGGCCCGCTACTCTACTCCCGCTGCTGTCTCTCTTGGCCGCCTGTTCCTCCCATTCCTGTTTCCTGACCTGGCGTCTTTTGAGCGCTCTGCTGACTTGATCGCTCACCTCCGCTCGCTCGACGCTAGTTACCGCGCTGCTTGCACTGAGGCACAGCTTGCACTGCTTCCTCCCCCTATGGCGATTACTATCTATTTCATCGCCACTAGCCTCCCTGACCGCCTTGCCTCCGTTCGCGACGCGCTTCTGCTGAAGCACCCTAGTGAAGCACCCTAGTGAGTCTGCACTCAAGGACGTCGAGAGCAACCTTCGCTCGGTAGCCGCTGCCTCTGGTGCTGTGCCCCCCCCACTCTTCCACGGGTGCACAGTCCCGCAGTTACCCACCTTTACTGCCTCACTTGCCACTGCCGCTACTGACGCGACTGCAGCTGCTGTTACGACTGCGTCGCGGTCCCGCGGTAGGAGTGGCAAGAAAGGCGGTTCTGGTGGTGGTAGTGGAGGTGGAGGCGGAGGTAGTGGAGGTGGCGTTGCGCCTGGCGGCGGTGGAGGTTCAGGGCCTGGAGAGGCGCCTCGTGCAGTGACTGGTGACTCCACTGCGCCTGCTGGTGGTGGCGACGCCCGAGTTCGTCAGTCGCCTCCTGTACTTCCTGCCCCGGTTGGTGGAGCAGCGGCGTGGTACCAGGCTCAGCGTCAGCAGCAGCTTCTGCAGCACCAGCAGCCCCTCTCCTCCCAGCAGCCTCAGCAGCAGCAGCGGCAGCAGCTGGCTCCAGGGTCGGGGCTGCGTCAGACCCAGCGCGGTGCTGCTTACACTCCCTGCACCTACCAGGTTCTGACAGGCACTCGTCGTGGCCACCCTTGTGGCCGGTTTCACCCCCCTGGTCAGTGCTTTGCTCAGCTCACTGACACGGTTCGTTTGGTCTACGGGGTTGGTGCTCCTGCCCCTGACTGGCTGCCTCTTGTTCAGCGCTACGGCTCCGCTCTGTGGGGCATGTCTGCTGAGCAGTTAGTTGATCTGATTGGTACTCCCCATGCTATGTATGCTGTTGTTGACTCTAGTGTTTCTGACTCTGCTTACTCTGGTGTTGTTAGCTTAGGTGCTAGCCTTGCTCAGTTGCCTGTTGCTAGTGTAGGTTCTTGTGTAGACTCTAGTCCAGCGGCTACCTCAGAGGACGGTTCGCTGTCGTTCACGCTGGACTCTGGAGCCTCTCACTGCTTCTTTCGTGACAGCACGACACTTACGCCTCTTCCTGCGCCTGTTTCTGTGGCGCTGGCTGATCCCACTTCGGGACCAGTCACCGCGCGTCACACTACCACCTTGCCGTGTCCGGCTGCTCCTTCTGGGTCTCTCACTGGGTTTCACGTCCCCTCGTTCTCCCGGAACTTGGTGGGCGTGCGACCCCTCGTGAGTCAGCACGTGGGTGTGTGGTTTGAGCCTTCTGGAGAGACTGCGGTGTGTGTTGACGGGGACTCTTACCAGCCCCTCGCCACTTTTGCTGCTGAGCCGGGCTCCGGTCTCTACACTCTTCACACTGGCCCGCGCGCTCAGCAGCGACTGCAGCAGCAGCAGCAGCCGCAGCAGCAG